AGGCAGGATACATACGCTGATGACTTGCTAAAATGCCGATGTCTTTCGTCGATTTTTCTTTACTTTTTTTATTTCTTCTCCATCGTTTTGCCTTTCTAGCCTTTTTTGCTGCTTCAAATCTAAGGCTGTCTTGTACTCGTTTGCTTGCTGGATACCCAAATTTGATTTAGGTATCCAACCTTTTCTACTGTCATGTGACCGTTCCACGTAACACCAACCTGAAAATGTAAGGCAAGAGGTTTATGATCAAGACAAATTAAGTCAAAGAAGATATAAAGTGCGAAAGATAACGGTATTGTTTTAAATTGTGTCACGAATACTGTAGTATTAATGGCATTGACAATGCAACAATGGCCGTATTTGACTGGTCGTTCTTCGTTAAATCACTCCCACTTGCGCAGTGCTAAAATTGTACTTAACGAAGACGACCAGTCGAATAGAAAACTGGTAAATACTCGACAAAACAAAATGGCTGCATAATAGCTACCGCGATACACGCTGCGTAATCAAGGTTGCTTCAGCTTGTAGATTTTTCGTTAAAAAATGTTTTTATCCAGTTTTTAATTTCTGTTAGCCTACAATTATTTTTTGACTTCATGTGGGTAAATATTAAATTTTTTATTTTCTGAAATTTAATATATATTATATTAACACAAATTTTGTTTGCTAAACTGACCGATCGGCCATTTTTTTTTTGGTCTCGTGGATAACTTAACGCTGATTAACGCACTCTGGTTTACGTCGTTTATTTTAATTGTCAAAGCATTCTATTTTACGAACCAGTCAAATGAAAATCATACTCAACGAAAAATCGTAGTCAACGAAATGAACCAGTCGAATAAGCCCAATTACTAGAAAGTGTGATGGTGTTGGTATTGTTAAATAGTAGGCCCACTTGTGGGTCTACATATGTCACAATGATGATGCAGCTGGTGTAGTGCGCGAGTGATAATTGATTGCATTCTGGTCGGATTGACAAACGAATATTACAAGTGGACTATTTGTAATGAAGATTCATTCATTCATTAGATATAAGATAGGCCTAACGGTGATGATATGACGGAACTAGAACAGGTGATGGGATTTTATCTTTGTGGATAGTGATTGTAGTGTGATGATATACTATTCATGAACAATGATGGCCATAACGATAAATATAACATTTCTATTACCAAATTTTTGATCGTCTGGATCTTCAATCACCTCGATTTCATCGCCGACTTTAAAGATAATGTCGTCCTTTTGAGCAACATATCGTTGACTTATTGTGTATCTTGGCCTACCTGAAATTGAATATATAACAGAAAATTGTTATACAACAATATGGCAAAAGGGATACGATGTTGCATTTGTACACAAAGTGTCATAATGAAAATATTCAGTCGTAATAAAACAATTTTGACTCTAATAGGTAACATTATGCGGAAGAAGTAACAAATGGTAGCACTCATAAACAAAACAAAAAAATAATTAGGATTAAATAGGTAGGCCTACAATATTGTAATAACAGACTGTGTTGATAGGTTTCAGAGATTGCTTCGTCCACCTACAATCGCTGCTTATAGACAACATTTTGATTTTGTGGTCCATGTTCTACAGTCAAGGTGACGGTGATGATATTGATCATGTTGATGATATTGATCATGTTGATGATAATGATGATAATGATGATGATGATGATGATGATGGTGGTGGTTATGATCATCATGATGATGGTAATAATGAATGGTGATGATTATGATGTTATACAATAGATATATAATGTTATATAGTTTTTTCATAAAATTATAGGCCTACCGTACCTATTGCTATTACTATAAAAATAAAATTTTCTAAACAATTCCTTAATATAAACGAATAAAGTTCGAAATAGGCCTATAGAACCATGATGGGTTTTAGTACTTACTCCATGTTGCATAGATGCCACCACCCTCTGGAACTTTTATAGCTTTCAACCAATCAGACATTATTGGCCTAAATAAGAAAAAGCGAACAACCGTGTGATATTTTACTTTGAACTTAATCGTAAAGAAGATAAAATTCTGTGGTATGGTATTCATTAGGGCGCAGAAAATCAAAGTTTGATGACCATATTTTTGCATTACCAGGGTCTATGACGATTATAGTTGGTTTTTGTTAAAGAAAATACTAGAACATCTCTAAAACCAGTGTACTTATTGGCAGTGCTAACCATGGTAATCTTTTGATCGTCTGTGGCATCCAATAATACTCACCCATTTTGAATTTCGTCGCCGATGAGGGCGAGTATGTATTGGGTAGATGAATATGAATTAGATAGCTCAATGGGCTTGTAGAAATACAGAACAAAAGTGTGTGGACGCGTAGATGAATTCTTTGTTAGCACATCTACGTCAACATAATTCTTGTTACAGCACTCTAGGGTGCGGTACGTGCGGTTACTGAAATGACAGATAAGGTTTTCAAGGTTAGATGTAACAGCAAATGGATATTTTCAGTCAATCAAACTTAACAATCAGACCAGAGAAATAAGAATATGCACCTATCCCACAAACGCGCGTACGTTTTCGTGTGCTTGCGACTGTAAATGGGGCCCTAGCAACAACATCCAATGGGCGAGGCTTAGCACAACACTACATTGTATATCAAGCGTATGACACAACGTACACATGAATAATACTTGGTGACAAAAGTGTGAAACAATGCCTGAAGCTAGACAAGTATTGAGATACGTTTAGGGCTATACGTTGATTTAAGATGTAGTTCTAAATAGTTATACAAGTACACATTTTTTTCTAGGTCGCAAATAAAAATGGAAGCTTTTTGACTACAAAGATTGATACATTTTCTGTCAAAAAAAAATAAGAGTATATGCAGAAAAATGAAAGTATTTAAACTCCGTTAATTGGTGATATGTTTTCCTCGTTCACGTTTGCAGTTGAGCGCTTATATAACTTACTGAAATAGGCCTATACAAGTTTAGTAATTTTTTTTTCATATTTCAAGCTTACATTAGACTTGGTGGCAGTACAGCAATATATTTAAGAGTTTCTGATGATATTCTAATACAGAAGGAAAAATAAACATGGCTACCCTGAGGTTTTTTGGAGTGTGTATAAATAATATTGTGGCGATGTCAGCCCAGAGCCATATATATATAAAGAGTTGCGACATTCCGCTCCTCGGTTTGCGAAAGTTACGTGGTATACACCTTTCATTTTTGTGTCCAAATCTTCCCGATGAATAGGCCTACATGCAAAGTATACGAGTTAGGTACATTGCACAGTATTTTCACATGTTTAATTGTGACGATATGATATTTTATGATGAAATGATATTTTTACTTAATTGATAACTATTTAATATCAAAAGCGTGATTTAGAATCTGTCTTTAGAATTCAAATATTTGCGCGTGTTCACGCACGCTTGATAATTAAATGCGAATACATCATAAAATTATAATTGGAATGTTAAAGGTTCGTCTATTCTATGACTGAAAAGACCTGCCTTTGTCAAAAAGTTATGTTTTGCTTTTTAATTTGGCCTACACAATATCTGTTTAGGGCCTATATATTGCGGCCAACTGACCTATACTATTTTAATATTTATAAATTAATAATCAAATTAATAATACAGTATACGATTTGTGGTCTCGTTCATATTCAATTTTAAAGAACAACAATCCAGATACACTATTTACGGATCATTGAAATCGGTAAAGCCGCCCAAGGCTAAAAGTAATGATACTGGCTGTTCAATATTGACTGCCAGCACTGATTTTGATAAAGTAGGCAGGAAAAAATGATACAGAATTAACAAGACCATCGAATTAAGAAGACAAAGGATTGCGATTTACTTTTTAAACAATAAGTTTCTGACGGTGATAATTTGAAGTAGGCCTACAACCAATTTATAAACGAAAATGATGCGGCCTACTTGATATAATACTATTTTAATATTTATTGCTGTTTTTGGCAAAGAAACCCTTTAGTATGATATAATTTTTTTATTTGATTATTTTATCTCGAAAATGACTTGTTATTTCTCTTTTCAAAATTCAAGAAAAATACTTAGATATTATTTTGTTGTTTTATTATCTATTTTTCCCACACAAATTAAATACATGAATAAAAGATGTAACCTAAAATAATATAAAAGGGTAACTAATGTTGATTACATTTTGATAGACAATAATTAATTTTTGCTGGTCGTCATATAGGCCTATCATTTATTTTGCCAAAATAACAGGGGCCACTTAAGGGTCTTTATTGCAGGATTGCCTAATTGAAGAATGTTTGGTATCGAGGGGCTCTCCGACAAGAAGGATTTTGGAACTGCTTAAAAATAGTAAATTATTACAGTATATATAATATGAAATTGGATATAAAGTAGTGAAATCAGTAAAAAATATATAGTTACATGAAATTCAACTGCTAAAAAGGTTAAATTAAATAAAACTACAGGAAGCCGCTAATTGTATTATACTATATTATCATACACAGGAACACACATCGCGTTGGACACAGAACGGCTTCTAAATTCTCAATGTCGCAACTCTTTCTTCTATATCTATGGCTCCGTGTCGGGTGTCAGCCACGTGAAGGGCGCCCTCTGGGGAAAAAAAGGAGGATGCAGAGGCTAAGAATAAAAGATGGAGGATGGAAACACATGTGTCTGTCTCTGTACTGTGTGTGAGTTTTCGCTAGGCTAGGCCATGGACGTTGGATTGATCTCGGTCCTGACAGAATCGCCACAATATCATTCTAAATTAATAATTTACCCTCTCTTATCCTCCTCTAATGTAGTCAGGAGGACGGCCCTTTCGAAAACAACCAAGTAAGCCTTGTTACCAGGGTATGCACTTCTTCCTACTTGGGATTTCCTGAGCGATGGTATGTTTTGTACCTTTCCTTGAATCATTGCATAATCCTCCGCAACCAGCAACGAAACCTGGCAAGAAGGTATAATACTCATTATGATAATGTATGATGTAACCAACGAAAAACTTTATATTTCAACAATTTCTCAGCTTTTAAGATTTTTTGTATAAATTAATGTTTTACAGAATAATAGACTATCATAGATTTTTTTTACCTAGTGCATTTTAACAATTCTTAACTCTGATTTTGTAACTCTGTTTTATATACAGTATATTTTATATATTTATATTGTTTATATTTCAATTAATTCTGTAATTGGCAACAGCTACAGCTGTAGAATTTTGAGCAAATAAAAAAAGTGATTATATTGACCAGGACTAATGTTAGAAAGAAAATATCTTTATCAGAAAGTGACAACATTCACTCAACAATAAGTTGTTACTCATAACTTAATTGGTATTCAGAATGTTATTGGAGTAATGACTTCAAATACTTTACTTTAAAAATATGTTTTAAACATATATTCGACGTTAGCATTTATTTATTTATTTATCTGTCCACCAGTCACCTATCCGTCGTCCCCCATTTTTACATCGATCAATTTAAATTAATTAATTTATTTATTTATCTAATAGGCCTAATAGTTGTATTTATACTTAGTTCTTGTATCTATTCAACAATTTTAATATTTACGTATGTATATTCATATATTTCAATTGTCATAATACATAATTATACAGTATATATACTGTCTCTTATACACATCTAGATGTGTATAAGAGACAGGTTGAATTGTACATGGTTGTCTTTAACACATTTGCACACAATTACTAGATTCTAAGAAAGAATATTAGCTGCTGTAGATCTTACGGCAGAAACACAAATAGGATTGGCGGAAGCTTGAGTCCGAAAACTGAAGATAAACTTAAGTAGGTATCGTCAGCGAAAGAGGAAAGTTTCAGTTTGGCAATCAGGCCTTTATGCTTTCATCAAATTTTCAAAGCGCAAAGGACCAGAGGTAAGTGACCAAGAAAAGCAGATCGCCAGTTGACATTGCATGATAAAAACTATACTAGTGATCAGAAATAAGTTCTTAAAATTCAAAGAAGGGAAGAATTAAGAGAGTTGCAAATAATGGACTGAGAAACTTTAAAAAGTAGGGAAGTGATGGCAATGGGTCGATAGGTAAAAGGTAGGAGAGTACCCTTAATAGAGTCATTGTGCTGAATTGCTTATGGGCCACAGCAACAGGGGCTAAAATCAACGCACGGACGCACATGCATGGGACGATTGAAGTGCTGAGCACGGCTTAGGAACCAAATGAATGCTAATTAAAAGAGGTAGTATTGTTATTAATTTGTACCTACGAAAGCAAACTCATATCTACAGGAACTGCCTTAAACCTTCTAAGGAACATTCCCTCAAGAGACAGCTAAAACAACAAAAATCTTTAATTTAAAAACATATAGAAAATATATATACCAATAAATCACTAATTAAAATATCAAAATTATCAAAATAAATAATCCAAATCTTGCAAACACTGAAACACCATGTTTGAAATTTGCAATACCCCTTTTCTTGATAAAATAAATGGGACAACGTTATTATGCATATCCATTATTACTGTATATGACATTCACAGTTTATAACATGTAAGAGGGTTCGTTTGATTCAATATTCTGTCCTTTATTTAATATTAAGAAATTTATTTTTAAGATTATCCTAATGGAAACGACCTGAATATTGTTTTTTACTGTTATAATATTTGAATATGATATATTAAATTATTAAATTAAACGTACTATTCCTTTGAATTTAAAGGGAATCAGTCAACATATTGCCGATACTATAGACTACGAGGTACGTGTGAGTTAAGACTTTAAAAATATGAAATTGTTTATATATTTGATTTTTTAGTGATAAAAAGAAACTTGAAAAAAGGTGATATAGACTACGAGGTACGTGTGAGTTAAGACTTTAAAAATATGAAATTGTTTATATATTTGATTTTTTAGTGATAAAAAGAAACTTGAAAAAAGGTGATAACATTTTATTGAGAGGGGTGTGTTCGAAGTTTACGGTGAATGTTTGACGGATTGAAGTTTATTCGATGTTTGACAGATACAATAATAATGATTTATGATCAGCCCAACAATGAGGCCTGATTTCACAAAGGAATGTATAAGAAAACAATACTAAAATTAAAAAATGATATAAAAATAGGGTACAGATACTGAATTGCACATAAGGATAAATAATTTTAAAATAAAAGTAAAATCTAGATATAAAATGGCAGAGAGAGGAATGCAGAATGTAGTACTGTATAGTATTCCCGTGTAATTAGGACACTGAATGAGTACAAATACGTAATGTGCAAAGAAATTCATAGTATAAAAATCTCCAAAAATGTCAGTGGGGCCAGGTACAAAGAGGTTCTAGGCCTGCCATGGTTGGTCTAAGGCAAGGACATGTATGATTATCTACAAATGGCCGGAAATGGCACTCTCAGACATAAATTTGAAAATATTTTTCATTTTTATTTCTCTAATTTTTTACAAATATTTTTTGAAACATTTAAGGGGCCAGGAACTACTCGTCCTTATCCTTGAGTCCGCCACTGACGTTTATTGTACTTACTGAACGAATGAGACCAAATTCTGTTGTATATCCACGTTTAGGAAGTAGCTCTCAAAACAGTCGAAATAATTCATCTCCAGCCATTCTTTAATCAACTTAAATATCTCGACAACGTCGTGGAGTACAGCTTCTAAATGGCCTTTAAAGCTATGAGAGAATCCTTGAAACCATTATTATATATATATATATATATATATATATATATATGCATACATAAAGCCTATATATATAATACACATAATATACATACATAATATATGTACACGTATATATATAAATACAATATATATATATATAAATATATATATAAATAAATAAATATATATATATAAATCTGCACTCGCAGATTCCAGATTCCTCTTCTTTACCGTTTAAATAAGCTAATATATATACATATGTATATATAAATATGTATATATAATATACCTATATCGATTCATATTATTTTTTAAAGTCCGTTGAATTTTATTACTGTGCTGTTAATATATTTCATTTGCACGTATATTTTATTGTATTGCCTTGCGTTCTATTATATTATAGACTACATGATACTATTACAGCTCATTTAACTTGTAATGTTAATTAGACTGCAGTGATGTTTGTCATCATTAAAGAGCTATATACCTGTATAAAGTTTCTTCAATCACATCCATATGACGAAACATCCTCAGTTCGCCTTCGAACAATACCGCCCTTAATACTTCATCTAATTCGTACATTTCTCGTGTTTCTTTAACAGAGTCATACAACCACTCCACCTTTTCGAGAAAACTCTTACTTTCCTGAAAATAGCGATAATGCCTCGTGTCAAGTTGTTTAAAATAGAATAGAATACATTTTCAGAAGGGTCAAACAAGTCCAAGAACAAAATTCCGTGTTAGAGATCAAAGGAGAGATTTTATGGCTATTTAAGATGACCCAATACATGCTCATAGACTACAATCCTGTTTAGGGACTGCAATCACTATGGCTTGAATCTGCCAAATCATATCTTAATCCAACGACTTCGTCGTGGATTCGCACGACATGTGAAAGTGTGGGGTTTAAAAGCATTATTTTTTTTAACCGTTTAGCCTTACATAAAAACATAAAAATAACATATTACTCACTTTCAGAGTTCCTGCTGAATGACTTCCAGATTGCCAACCTATACGTAACACAAACAATTAAATTGTAATAAAACAACCGTTCATACACAGACCAAAACTTTAACCATTGTACAGGCCTCAAAGAGAAATCGGGGGATTGACGATCCAATGTTATGTCATGTCATGTCAACCCATACTGTGTAAAATTATGTTATATTTTATATTGCTATACAATAATATGTTTTTATTTTTGGGTTGTAAGAACGTTCAAACGTTGTGAGGTTGTGAAATTACGTTAAAAGTACGTATATATAGTTTTAAAAAATAACGCTTTTATCACCAAACTGTAACGTTATTATAACGTTCATAGAACGTAATATTGTTAGCTGAAGTCTCATTATTGGAAGTGGAGTTTTTTGGTCGTGAGAAAAAATCCTGTTAATGACAGGAATTAAACCCAGGACCCTGGGATAAGGAGTTGGGCATATTAGCCATCAAGCTATTCCACTCCACCCAACTTCTTATGCTATGGCTTGTTATGTAATACAGGTACTATTATAATGTTATGTTACGTCATTTATGTTATATAAGACAATTGAACTGTTCTGTGATACATACCAACGTTGTGGACTTCTGGTTTAACCTTATAGCCCTGGACTCTGGCAATTGGTCTAATCGGGTGGACATGTTGGTCTCGTGGGTCCTCATCAAGCGCAACCGGGTCATAAATGTTATCGCTGTGGATATTAGAAATATGGGTTTAGATTGTATTTTTCTTTCTAGAATATGACTCCAAACAAAAATCTCTGTAGGCCTACCTCAAAGCCTAGTCTAGGAAATGCAAAAGAATAGCTTATATAATATTCACTGATCAGTACTCTGTCATACTTATTTCTGGTCTATTTATATTTTTGGGGGAATTTACATGCTTTGTTAAAATATAAAAGATGCAATGGTGTGTAAATAACAATGTTATGCTTTCTGTAAGTTTTTATATAGAGTATATCAAATTTGTAACCATGATATCTGAATTGCTGCATGTTCTAGTGCTTTGAATCCACAAAAACAATTTTGGAAAAAGAAAGTATGCCCTACTCTAATCTGTCATTAGTTTGTCTGGTTATGAATGAAAGACAACCGGGCTACTGAAGAGAATGAAGCCCGGCTATAGGATTCTTCGGGCAGTATTAATGGGGTCAGCCGTCAGGAGGCTATGGGTTTTGATGTTTTAATGGTTGTTTACATGTTTTGCTTTTTAAAGGACTGTCCCCATGGCCATAACAATACCGATTAATATCTCGGGGCCCTTAAGGCCGGCGACACTGCTTTTAGCCAGTGAATGCTCATGGCGTTGTGCCAGTAAATGAACCAGTTTCTTGAGGGAATTCTGAAAATTGTCATAGAATAATTGCTGGAAACAAGACCCCGACAATCACAGCAGGATGAATTTGAAAGAAAGAAGCTGGGATCCTGGAGTTGCCTAGGCCCCAACTAGTGGTCCAGGGGTTAAGCCGGAAGCTCCAGTGTTCTAGGCCTACATAGCACATTGTAGAGACCTCTGCGCTTTACCTCCCGGTCATTGGATCAAGTACATATGGAACACATAGGCCTACTCAGGACCTTTGGGAGAATTTCATAATGTTGCAGGTTTAATCAGTGCATGTTTGTGTTTGAACCTACCAGGTACCCACTTGTGCTCTTGGGTGGAGATAGACAACCGTATGTACCTTGGCCAGGAACTCCGTAGGTGAAGTACCTTGGCCAAGGACACAAGCGCAATACACAGCGAGGGATTGTAACCTCCGACCACAAGGTTAATGTTGAGAAACAGAATCGCAACCGCTGCGCCAAACCTCTCCTACTAGCCATTCATAAGTCGATTTAACCGATTTTAAGGGTAACTTTTACAATCAACATTTTCACAAGTTTTCTGAATATTCGTTTTAAAAAAGTGTTTCAATTTACCTCGTAATTTTGAAACAAAATCCCACTTACATATTTTGTGCAAAATAATATTCATAAAAATATTGATTTATTTTATTTTTTATCTGCTGATTAAGCTCATGTTATATTTTTTCGAATATGAGATTATTTACGCTCATTCGCAATTGTTGTCCTTTCATCTCGCTCTGAAAAGTGACGTTTTAACTAAAGAAGAATGGTGAATAGTGGGGTGGGGACATTTAATAGGATATCCCTCCTCTATGTCCCCCTTTCCCCCACCATACTGCCATACTGGACACACAACCTCGTAATCAATTTATGGTATAAAATTGAAATTACGAATTTACATTTTGTAATGCATATGAATGACCTCCATAAAAGTGGCGTGTGTGTGTGTGTGATTGCAATTTAAGTGTTCGGTTAACATCTACTGCCACGTTATTGAAAAAAAAAAAAAAATACTGTAAACCCTTCAAATAAGTACGGCGGCACTTATTGCATTTTTGCAGGCCTGGTGCTCATGATACCTATCTCACGTATTCCCGTCGAACCCGGACTATCTATATTTGGGACATTTTAAAGATATGTTTGTGTCTTCATTGTTTTATTTCTTCATTTGAACACTGTATACATTTAAAACTCTGTGTCCTCAAAGTGTTTCATTATACACAGGGTAATATTTTATTCGAGAGCGGCGCTTAACGAGAAAAAAAAATCACGTTTGGATATTTGAGAGACGCTTATTCGAGGATTTATGGTAGTAAAAATGCATTAATCTTCTACTCCAGTGGAATTACATTTTTCCTAACTTCGTTAGGATCAATAAGTACTTATGATCACGCAGTAACACATTTTGACGGTAATTTGTGTTGTAGTTCGAAATGAAATTAACCGGCGTTTATTTGAGTAGATACGTATCCTTTTTACACACACACACACCCTCACACACCCAGACCCCCCCCCCACACACACACACAACACGCTTCTCTCGAATAAACTCCCTCTCAAAACTATTCTCAACATTAAACGCTCCGTGGTGTTTATTCGAATAAATGCAGTATATAAAAGGCAAAATACTGAAAAACAACAATGCTGTGGGGAATATGTGGATCTCGGTAGCAACAGTCATATAGTATAAAGTGAGACGTCCGGCAATAATGATTAGAAAGGCAGTGAGAGTAAATAAACTTGGAAGAACGAGTGGGGCGAAACTTTCCTTATGTTTATAACATGTACTGTAAAAGTGGTTACGACCACATTGATTTGAACTTGCAGAACTTATTAAGGCCAACTCAGACAGCGTCGGCCGACGCGCAGCCCGACGCGATTTGTTGTCGCGTCGGGTCTGTGTGAGTTGAACGCAGACGCGATGGTGTGCGTCGGGGGCAGTCGCGTAGTAGAATATTAAACGTGTTTAATATTTCTCACGACAGCTTAAGACTGTCCCCGACGATAAATCGGGTCGGGCTGCGTCGGCCGACGCTGTCTGAGTTGGCCTTTAGACTCAATATTTCAATATATAAAATATTGGGTTTTAAAAAAATTGTATGCATTAGGCCTAATGTATAAAGATTTATATAAAACGTTATTGTTACCTTTTTTGTAATCTTCTTCGGAATCCCATAGCTAAATTGCCAAAAGGAATTAAAAATATTTATGTGTTGTCTTTTAAAATATATTATGTTTTTTTTAAATATGCCAGGTAATAAATTCAATTATACATCAATTTTTATCATCAACTGTCGAATATATCTATTCATATGCATTTATCTGTTTATCATTCATTTATATATCTACGTAATGGTCCTTTTCGGAGTGTCAATCAAACTTAACAAGTGACCAATCAGAACAGAGCCAGGAAGAATACGCACGTGTCTAGAAAGCACACGTGTTGTATCACAAGCGCGCGTGTTTGCGTACCTTAAAACCTCGAATTTAATCTCAAGATGAAGCCCATCTCGAATTGAATCCCCTCTTTAGTTTGCAAAATTAGCCTCGAAGAGAAGCCCTTCTCGCCTCTTTTCGAGATTATATACATTATACATGAATTTAAAAAAAAAACAACAAAATAAATTAAAACAAGCTTAGTTGATACAGTAGTTTATGTAATTTAATGTCAGTTAAATACACTCCATGATACAGATCGATGTTACAGTGGCCGTATTTATTGTTTTATAGTACAAATTCATAAAATTTTGAAAAGAAGACCCGCCCTCTTTACTTTGCAAAAGTAGCCTCGAAAAGAAGCCCATTTTGAAAAGATGCCCATTTAAAAGCCATTGCTTCAATTCGAGGTTTTACGGTATGCTTTAATACTGCCGTTTTGTAGGACCTTAGCAACGATATCCCAGGGCGGGGCTTATCGGAAATGTCAATTATCGGAAAGGTCAATTATCGGAAAGGTCCATTATACAAATCTTTTAAATGCAATATTGACAGGTTTTTTTTAAACTAACCTTGGACCCATGTTCTCATGTCTAGCAAGTGGTTCTGAAATTTGAAACATCCATTTATTAATAAATATATTTAATAAATTTATCAATCAATCAGCCATCAAATCATCTTTATTCATTAAGCCATCCACTTACTATCCATTTCTCAATCAGTCAATATATAAATCAATGAATCTTTCCACCAAAAAACATTATTATTATTATTATTATTATTATTATTATTATTATTATTATTATTTATACTATTATTTTCTTAATTCATTATTATTATCATCTATAATAATAATTATTATTATTTATATTATTATTATTATTATTATTATTGTATTGATATTATTATTATTACATGAATGAAATTCCGATATTATGCTACACTTGCAGCTAAATGAATGTATTTATTTATTTATTTATTATTACTGTATTATTATTATTATTATTATTATTTACAGTAAATTATTCAACACTTCTCTCTATCTTTCTTAGTCTATTCATTATAATTCTTGTATGTCTTTATTAAATCTCTTTATTCATTTCTTTTATTCTTTCTCCATCCCGTATTTGTTCTTTGTGTCTTATTTTTTCTCAGTCGTTGTAGCCTTCGTCACTATCACTGTCGTGGTCGCCACCTTCACAGCCATCGTCTTCATCATTATAATCATAATCATTAGAATCAATTATTATTGTTATCAAAATTACCGTCACCGTCTTCTTCATTATAATCATAATCATTAGAATCCATTATTATTGCTATCAAAATTACCGTCACCGTCTTCATCATTATGATCATAATCATTATAATTAATTTTTATTGGTATCAACATTGCCGTCACCGTCCTCATCATTATTCATAATCGTTATAATCAATAGTATTATTGCTATTAAAAAAATTACTGTTTACAATTATTATTATTAGTACAGTATTATTATTACTACTATTGCTGCTTCTACGACTACTGCTTCTGCTACTACTACCACTACCACTACCACTACCACTACCACTACCACTACCACTACCACTAACACTACCACTACCACTACCACTACCACTACCACTACTACTACTACTACTACTACTACTACTACTACTACTACTACTACTACTACTACTACTACTACTACTACTACTACTACTACTACTACTACTACTACTATAATTACTTCAATTGTTTCAAAAAGACACGTTTCACCTAATGATACAAGGGAATCTTACACTATTCATGCCAAAAGCAGAGTTCTTTCTTTGAGATGAACGCTGGTGAATTAGAATTTACATATACGCATTATGACTAATTTTAGCATTAGAATCTACTTACCTGGGTTTTCATAGACTGTATCTTCTACGTCATCCCAACCAGGAAGCTTTTTAGGAGGTTTAGGTTTAACTGTAGGTCCCTGTTTGCTCGCCATATTTTTCGATTTAGATTTAGACTTACATAATGCCTAAATACACGACCATAACGGCTAGCCTACGTACTTCCTTGTTACTGCACTATATGATCAGATGATATGATTTCAGGAAATAGATACTTATTTTGATATACAGTACCTTAATACAAAGATAAGTTTTGAACAAAGAACAAGTTTGAATAACGAATTCGCATCATTGAGTTTGCATGCATTGTTATTACAAGAGGTAAACGTTCCTAAGTAACTCCCACGACATGTCGAGGTAGGCTGTGACGCAGTCAGTGTGTCAGGGAATAAATTAATATCAAAACTAACTTAATTAATATAATTTGAAATTAGTTATTTAGAAAATTAATTAAATTTAATAATTAGAATTAATTAATTAATAATCAAATTCATATCAGCAAATGAGTGCGCACATCTTTATTAACTCCAAATTTTCAGGTGTTACTGTATTTGAAAGCAAAGATAAGATGACATCTTTTGAATTACGCATGATACTATATAGTATCAGGCGTAGTATCAAAAATGGTTTATGCGTGTTGGAAGGAGTTTGCTGCTAAGGTGCAAGTTTGCAAACAAAATGAATGGCTAGTGATTTAAGAGGTAAAACTTACTACAGATTAAGTAATACATATGCAGACAGCGAACAAAATATTAAAATATGACTGAATAGCATTATTGGGGACACAAGACATCATATTTTCTACCAGCTTAGAGGATTTGACTCGATGTTTGGGAGAAAACTTTTTCAGATAATGCGCGCCATTGTGTTCAGACATCCATTATACCCGGTCTGCCAACCATGCAACGAGTGTCAAAGAACAACTCATTATGGAGGCACACAAGGAGGGTAACAGTGGATTTCAACTGATATGTTTGCCCAGTTTAGGCCCTAAATAATAAACAAATAAATAGCGTCAAAATTCTGATAGGAACCCTGATTCACTATTCATGGCCGGATTATAGGGCTGTGGGGCTGGGGCTGGGGCTGTAATTGCAAGTGGACTTTAATAATCTTTGGCTAAAACATAAAACCAGATTGTCAGTGATTTTTCCTGGGGTTCGGAGTCCTGTTTTTCCTCATTGGGGCCTGTGGGCCTGGGGCTGGAGCCCAAAAGCCCTTATGTTAATCTGGCCCTGTCACTATTTATTGCTTGGCTTTTAGGGTGGGTTACAATTATGGGTTACTATTGGAGTACTGGGTCACTATTATTAGGCATAAACTAGGCCCCCGGTATTCCATCCCCGGCCCTCGGGCGAACTCCGGCCATCCACAGAGTTTGATCCTGCCCGCGCAACATTGGTAAAAAATAAATAATTTTTCCGGCCGATTAATAGAAACACGACCACCTACGCGGCCATTGTTAACAAGAGTCTGGCTTTTTCTGAGTGCAGCTCATTGTATCTGTATCCGGGAATCAGCTGTGTTTATTTTTAAATTTTGCTCACCTTAGCCCCAGCCATGGTGGGGCTGAGGCAAATGTGGGCCCTTCTTGGGTATCGGCCTTATCGTCGAGGAATTTATGGCGCTGTCATTGTTTTTAACTACTAAGTACATGAGTGAATTTTTTTATGCTCAGAGAATTTCTAGTGGTAGGGTAGGAGAATCTGGTGGTTTCATTTATCCCCCTTCCAATTACTGAATTCCCTCATTAAAAAAAAAATAACAAGGCTTATCATAGTTATCATTGTTGAAAAACTAAGACTAAAATAGACCTGTTACGAAGACTTGTAGACCTTATAAAAGAGAATGCGTAAAGCTGACATTAGACCAAATATACACAGTACACAATTTATGTCGGCCCACCGGTCTCAACAGGTTGAAATTGGCCATGGCCACCAGTATAAAAAAGGGTTGATACCCGGGAACTAGGCATTAATCCAAACATTATTCCTCTTGCGTTGAAAACTCACTAGAATAACTGCAGTACAAGTATAGATATTAGTTTTTAAGTTTATTATAATCATAATCATAATCATAACAAATCACATAGGGTAAGTAAACTGATATATATATGTATTGTAGCATTAATATCAAAACAACACTATCGTCATCCTCAACCATCATCAATTTAACAGTTACATCCGTTACATCATGGACCTATTAATAATTAATAAAATTTAATAGGTCCATGCTTACATCATCAATGTTGAGATCATTCTAGCAACTGAGCCATGAATGAACATATTTGCGGCAATGAAAATATCGATAAGATTAGGGGCTTCTGTATTTTATTACAGTTTAAGCTGTCTCTTATACACATCTTATATATAGTTCAATTGAATTTAATAATGATTATAATAATATATAATAATCATGATTATACATTTTTATGTACAAATTTTGATAGAATCCCAGGGTCACTTTTCCCTTGGTTTTCAGGGTGGGTTACATAAGAGTATGGCTTAATTAGAGTCACTAATATTAAGCATAACATTCGACACTAGAAAATACCTCACCCATGTCAAGACCTTACACGAATAGGCCTAACTATGCAAGTAGATTTGTTGAATAAATTATATTATACTGAAAACAAATTGGGAAATTTAGGCATTCTTAAGGAAAAAATATATACCACAATGCAAAGCAAAGTGTTGATTCAAAATGAATGTTATTTGTAGGCTTATAATTATGTATTTTGGCATTATAATAATAAACCCCACTGAGTTACTATTATAGTAGTGGGTTATTAAAGATGAGGTTTTAAGGTGGATTACTCTGAGA